GTGTGGTGTCCCTGGTGGTGGAGCTGCTCCTGGCGGCGTGGCCTGGCCCCGGGAGCCGTCACCGCAGGGAGGGTCTGTGTCCACGTCCGGGAACCAGCCAGGGAAGGGCCCTCCCACAACGAGGCCGCCCCACACTGAGCCGGGACAAGGGGGCTGTGGGGGAGACGTCCACCGTCTCCTGCCGTGTCCCTGCAGCACGTGTCCCTGCAGCGCGTGTCCCTGCAGCGCATGTCTCTGCAGCGCGTGTCCCAGGCGCTGTGTGCCCCGGGCAGCTCGGCGCTGCTCTCTGGGGAGTGAGGACGGGCCGTCAGCGGGGAGGGAAAGTCAGAGAGAGGAGGCAGGAATGGGGTCCGGATCTTGCCTCCAGGGAGGGAAACGGAGGGGCTGGGGGACCCTGCTTGTCCCTGGGGAGCCCCCTGACCTCCCACAAGGGGTCTGACCTCTGACATGGGTGTCCTTTTAGGATAAGAAGGAAGAAAGACCTACCATTGTCCTGGGACTGACCCTCAAAGGAATGCAGGTCTATGAGGTGAGGGGCGGAGCCCCCAGAGGCCCCCCCCCCGCAGGGCTGGTGCCCCGTCGCCAGCTGACCCGGCCCCTGTGCCCTGCAGGAGGTGAACCACGCTCCGCAGCTGCTCCATGACCTGCCCTGGCCCCGCATCGGGAAGCTGGCCGTCCTGGTGCGAGTCTGCCGGGTCTGGTTGGGGGGACGGGTCTCAGCCCCCGGGGCCCAGGGGAGCCTGGCTGACGCTTATCCAGTGTCAGCATGTACCGGGCACCCCGCCAGTGTCAGCATGTCCAGGGCACCCCGTCCTCCCCCGTGCCTGCGCGGTGCGCCCAGCCTGGCTGTGCAGCGGGCGTGGAGACCACCCCACCCTGGACGGCTGGCCCCCGACAGCTTTGGCTCCCAAGGGGGCGAAATAAAGAGAACGAGGAGGAGGCAGAGACGCATGGCCGGCCAGCCGGCTTCCAGACACCCCACACACACACCCCACGTCCCAGCCCCACAGGCCCCAGGGCCAGCACTCGGGGCGAAGGGCAGGGTGGGCTCTGAGGCCTGGGGTCCGTCAGGGCCGTGCACACCCCCCCCCAGGGGAGTGTCTGGACTTTTCATAACCTCGAGCAGCACCCCGCTTGCCTGTGCCCCTAAACGCAACTGGCTACCACATGAGGATACTGCCTGTGGGATTAGATGCGCCAACAGGAACCGTGGCCGCCGCCCAGGGTGGGTCTGGCCGCCGGCTCACACGCTGCCCTCTGGTCCTGGTCCTGGTCGATCCACCTTCTCCTCCTACAGGGAAAGAAGTTCAAGATCCGGCCGGACGGGCGGCCCGCGGCCCGCAAGCTGGAGTTCTACACGGGCTGCGCTGTCCGCTCCCGCCACCTGCTGTGCCTGCTCCGCGCCAGCCACCAGCT